CGAGCCGCAGGGCAGCGCTGTGCCCAGCCTGGGGTGGCCCCGGGGCCGCTCGGAGCGGCGGGAGGGGGGGGCGAAGCGGGGCCGGGGGAACCGTGAGGTTTGTGCCGCTGCCAGCCAGGGCTGCGCCCGGCCGCGCTCCTGAGGCGCGCTCCAAGCGCAGGCACGGTCCCGGGGTCGTGAGGCGCTCGGCGTGTGCGGAGCCTCCCCCGAGGAGCGGCTCCAATCTCAGTGTGCGTCATTAAAAACCAAAGCCTTTCCTCAGGCTGACACCTCGGTAAAACACTTTGCTCCGTTCGCAGCATTAGCCAGCATGGTGCTCACAAGCGTGGGGAAGATGGCTGGCCTCCAGAAGAAGGCGTCCGGCATCAGGAATATCTGTATATTGGCCCACGTGGATCACGGTGAGGCAGGGCTTCTGCCTGCTCCTCTTGTGTGTCTGAATATCTTGTGAGATACTTTGTTCGCTGTTCTCAAGTAGTAGGATTTTGTGCATTTAGCTTTAAACTGTCTTGAACAAGATTCAGGAAAGTAAATCTGCTTTATGCATCTTTCCTTGGTCTGTTTCAGCTTGTTTTAGGTAACAGAGCGCCACACTATAATAGTTTGAAATTGAATGAATAGTTTGAAATTGAATGAATAGTTGAAATTGAATGTTTGCTATGATGGTGAATGTTGGCGTGAATTTAATATGTGTTTAAGAGGCAGAATAATATTTTTCTATGTTTTCTTCATAGAACAAGCTTGTTATGTAGGTGGAAATAGTAACCACCCTTTTTAGAACACAAATATTTTGTCTAATTGCATATTATAATGAGGTCCTTAGTACTGTTTGCTATTTCCACTGCTCTTCTGGCCATGACAGGTAAATTTGCATCCACTCTTCAAAAATAAATTTGTGTGCATGCAACAGGAGTAATTTGATTTGGTTTTTGAAAGTTAATTTGTACTCTTCATGGCATTTCATAGTCTTTATTAATGCTGATGTCTTAGAATACTATATGGCATCTTTTGCCATCGTTAATATTCATTTAGTCTAAGCAATTTATTTTTCTTTTCAGGCAAAACCACTCTAGCTGATTGCCTTATATCTAGCAATGGAATAATCTCCAGCCGCTTGGCAGGAAAGGTAGAGTTACACTGTCACTTCTAACAGAATTCTGGTCTCTGTGTGCTGGGGTTGTAAATTCTGGATCATTAAGGAATTCCATCTATAGTCTTGCTAAACCTTGTTTTCTCACCATCATACTCTGACAGTTGATAAGTAAATTGTGAAGATGTTTCTACAGACTTACTGTTTTTCTTTTGTTTCTGTACTCAGCTGAGATACCTGGACAGTAGGGAAGATGAGCAGATCCGAGGAATAACAATGAAATCTAGTGCAATTTCACTGCACTTTGTGAAAGGTAGGTTGTTGATGCTGCCTTGTATAAATTGTATTATACATTTCTGTTAATTTCCCCTGTCTCTTCGTTGTTGCTGTTGTGATTTCTGTGTACAACTTTGACTTCTGTGTTTCTCAGTGTTAGGCTGTAATTCTGCAGAGACTTAGGCAAGTAAATCAGCCAAGGTAATTGAGTTCCATCTCAGGGTCAGGAAAAACATCGTCAGTCGTATCTCTGAGTGGAGGCCGTGAGAGTAGTTGCCTCACCTTTTATTATTAGATATAAGTAATGTATATTTTGATCTTGAGTCTTGAATCACTTAAAGGCAAGACCTTTCAGAAAAACTCATGTTTTAGTACAGTCTTACTTCTTTGTTGAGATACCTGTTACACTGTACTGTAAGGGTTTTTACAGTGTAGTTAGTGTCAGGACATTAAAAAATAATAGCTGAAGCAATCTAACTGGGTGGCTGGAAGAAATATCTTTGAAAACTGTTCTGAAATATTAATTTATTGTTTGATCCTAGGTGATCAGGAGTATCTGATTAATTTAATAGACTCCCCAGGGCACGTGGATTTTTCTTCAGAAGTATCTACTGCTGTCCGACTCTGTGATGGTTGCATCATAGTGGTGGATGCTGTTGAAGGAGTCTGTCCACAGGTGAAATAAAGTGTATTAAGTAGAGGAAGAGGGGAGTAAGCAAAGTCTGAAGTGGGTTATATAGAAATAAAAGACAAGCTGTCTAAGAAGCTTTACAAAATTTTTAACAAATGACAATACAGTTGAGCTGTGAAAGTAGTAAAAATCATAGTTGTGCTGAAAAACTAAACAGTGCTGGTGAATGGGTGTAGAGAAGCAGGGTTGAAGCACTGGGTATTTTTTCAGGTGTAATGGAATACTTTGATAGAGAAAAGTCTCAAGGGAAATAATTTCCTGTATTTATGTGGGCTTTCAGGGTTTGGAAGAGAATACACAAAGTAATGAGGTAGATTTTTTTCATGGCTTACTTTTCTAAATAGTTTGGTTTTTGTTATTTTGGGTGTTTTTGCCATGAAATCCCACCATTCTGCAGAATTGTTCAACAACTAACACCATGGGAGTACAATTTCTGGTTTGAGTGTCAGCCTGTCCTTTACTGTGTTTATTAAATTTCAGAATTATATTTGAATTTTTTTTAACATTTTGTCTTTTTGGTGCTGTCAGGCTTTCTTTAATGGGGTTTTCAAAAACTCTTTCCTTCTCAGACTCAGGCAGTCCTGCGGCAGGCATGGCTGGAAAACATCCGTCCTGTCCTGGTGATTAACAAAATCGACCGCTTGATTGTGGAGCTGAAGCTCACCCCTCAGGAAGCATATTTGCACCTTAAGAATATCTTAGAGCAGGTATTTGTGCTGAGGTGTCATTTACACAGCAGATTTTGTGGCACTGTGTAGCATCCAGTCTGATTTTTAACATTAAGGTGCATCTTATTCCTGATTTGCTTTGAGGTTTATCCAGAATGCCTGTGATGGAGAAAAGGGTGGTAAATGCCTCTTTACAGGTCATCAGGAAAAGTCTTCATTTTTAGAAGTAATGTGCTCAATGTTTTGTTCTTCTCCTAAATTGCTTAAACTTACTCGAGGTAGACTGTTCTTGATATTGATAGATTTATGTCGGAATAATGTTTCATCTTTTGAATTGTAGTTTAAGTTGCTCTCAAACTTCTCTTCCCCCCCACCAATCTCACTTGGGAGCATTTATCTGCCTGGTTTCCCTTTGCCCTCTGTTGTTTGCTTTGTTGGCAGAAACAAGTTCCTATTTTCCTATTTCACCATTCCTTGTTCTGAGAGACAAAGTGTGTTACATGTGATACTTTGATTCTGTCCTGGTGTGTGTAATTTGGAAACTTCAGGGTGTTTATGTCAAAACATAAACTCCTGTGGTCTTCAAATGTGTGGAATTAGGTGTGTTTTAATTGCCAAATGAATCACAGCCATGCTAGCTTGTTAACACAGCTTCTCTTTTTATGTTTTCCAGGGTGGGAAAATTACATTTTAATTGCAAGGGTTGTGAAAGAGTGAATGAATCTGAGGGTGTTTTTACATATCTTTCTCTAGATCAATGCAGTCACTGGAACACTTTTTACCTCCAAAGTGTTGGAAGAAAGAGCTGAAAAAGAAACAGAAAGTGAAACCCTTTCAGACGCATCACCAGGAGATCAAATTTATGACTGGAGTACTGGATTGGAAGACACTGATGACTCACATCTCTATTTTTCACCAGAACATGGAAATGTGGTGTTTGCCAGTGCGATTGATGGCTGGGGTTTTGGGTAAGTTTGAGATTTAATTACGGCCCTTTTTAAAAAATTGATTACTGCTGTTAATCTTAAAGTATTTTGGTTGTATCATATTTCTAAAGATGTTTGTTAGATTCTTCTGTGATATGCTGCTGTGTATAAATTATCTGAGTGACAGGGATCCCTGTTTGACTTACACAGGAGCTTCTGAGCCCACAGTGGGGTCCAGCCTAGCCTGGTAAACAGTATTTTTGTACTTGCTGCTGTTGGATACACTGCAGCAGACCAGGCCAGGAGCTGCGAGCGGGGCAGGAGGAGCTGGTTCAGGGTGCTCTGTTTGGAGGGGAGGGCTGCAGGTTGTGAGCAGTGCCCGTGTTCTGGTCGCTGGCCACGAGGTGGAGGCGTTGTCTTCATCCTGAAATTGTAATTACAGGGATAGCTCGGTGGTGACACAGGGAATGTCTCAGTACTGCAGAGCCCTTGCAGAAAATTATCTCCACGATTTTTAAATCCAAGTCAGACTGTAAATAAGGTGCCATGCGTAGTTTGTTGTCCAACACAAACAGCTCTTGTCCCTTGAGAAGGAAGGAAAAATAAAATAGGCTATTTTAGGTTAATTATCTTTCAAGACTAGTTTCTTTCTTCTGATGAACTGTCAAGCCCTGGCTCTGATGAATCATATAATGAAGAGGGCAAAAAAGAACATTTTTCTTAATTACTTTAAAGAGGTTCTTCTGGACTGCCAGCTACAGTACTGTGTGCTGAAATATGGATCAGTGCAGCTTTTTCTTAATCATGGAAAGTCTTGACTGCTGTTTCTTGGTTGTGGGTTCTTTTCCTGAAGATATTAGCAGAAAAAAATTAACTTATTAGGCAGTGCCAGCCTCATCCAATGTGGTAAGTACATGTGCTTTTCTCACAATTCTCAAGTGTTGAAAAATGCCATTAATATATATGCAGGAGCTGCTGGCACAAGAATCTTAAAAGTTCTCCCTGAATTGAGAGCTTAGGTAGTTTCTGGAACAGAAATCTCTTCAGGCTTAGCTCAGAACTCGCAGCTTATGTGTTGCTGATATGGACAGGTCCTTTTCTTTTAGCTGTGTACAAACTTAAGAATTCTGAATTTCAAAGGAAAAATTAGCAAATAGCACTGTTCTGATTGTTATGGTTATAACTGTGTATTTTTTTTTCTGCATGCACAGGGAGCAAATATGTGGAAATATTTTTTATTACTGCTCACAGAACATTTTCAGCAAGGAAACCATAGCATGTTCAGGACTC